CCTGCGGATGGGTAAAAGCAGCACCAAGTAACCATATTTTGCTCACAAACGTGCACGTGAAGAAAACCCGCGGCCCAGCCGGCTCTGGAGGAGCTGAAGGACAAACCTGAAACTGAAACTGGAATTGCGGAAAAAGGGGGGGCTGTCGAACTCCTGCAGGGAAAGGCACCTCCTGACGTCCTCCGCGGTGGGCAGCTGCTCGCTGGAGCCCCCGGGCGGCCTCCGCCGCAGCGGCCCTTCATCGCTCCCGTTGCACAGCGTGACCAGGCGGTTGTAGTCATCCAAGCTGACGGTGAAACAGCAAGAGGCACAAGTTAGAAGAAGGTGATGACGCCTGGCTTGTTGGCTTTTTCTCCCGCGGTATAAAAGAGGCCTCGGCTGTACATGTGGGAGAGCAGGGGTTAGGGACTGACACCCCCTGGGGCATCTCGGTCCACCTCCCGTGGCCTGGGAGCTGAATTTATTGCAGGACTGTCACCATGCCATGACTTTCCGTGGCTCTGCGGCCGCTGTGGACCATCAGTCATTTGGACCAAGACTCGCCGGGCTCGTCCTCCACAGAGAGAGGACACTTTAGAAAAGGGAAGCGCAACTCCCTTCACACCTACTCCCCTCCCGAGGGCTTCGGAAGAACAGTTTTTGCCAGACAATCTAAAAGAGTCTCTTGAATTTTGAATTGAAAAACTTTCAGTCCTGACTAAGGACTAGTTTTTTAACTCTTAACAAGGAGGAAAAAAAAACAGGAAAGTCCCACTGAGGGATGGGCTGAGAAAATGCAAGGAATGACAGTAAACAGGATTTCACTTTCCATCCCTCATCCCTTTTAGAAGAAAAGCAACTGTAATGCATTGCCTCCTCTTTTTTAGGGCCTGGAGGACATCCTGATGTTGCAGGCATTGCCCACTAGCTAATGGGGAGCAAGTCCTTTATATCAGGGAGAGAAAGAGGGAAGGAGGAGGAGAAAAACAGTGTAATGCTTGTGAAAAAATTCTGTGCTATTCAGTATAAAATGAAACAGCATTTTCAGAAACTCCTGAAGTAAACAAAAGCCCTTCTCTGCTTGACCTTGGCAAGGCAAAAGTTTAGTCGCTTCAGCTTTCAAGAAAAAACAAAACCCTATTTATCTTAGAGAAAAAGTAGGGACAAGATTTAAAGCCAACTGGTGCCTAAAGCTAGAATTCCAAGTAGTTCTTTAGGTACCCAGAGAAAGAGACTCTTTTGAAAAGCCCTGAGCTCTCGGTACCTCTGTCTGACTGACTGCACGCTACCCCGGAGCTGACAGAAGAAGGTTTTATGAGTATTGTTACCAGCAGCGTCTTATGTGGTAGCACCCCAATCCTGCACGCCACGGCCCTGCCCTCACCCGAATCAGTATATGCCTACAGACAGCTGGCAGCAAGCTCGGGGCTGTCTCTGTGTTGTTTTCCACATGAAATCTCAGCCGCTTTGAAGTCAATCCCCAAACTGCATTAAATATATCAGGGTTAAGATCTCACCCAATACAAGGGAACGGATTTTTCAGCCTATCTCTAGCTTCCTATACGCCAAAACAGTTTTCTGTTTCTGCTGCCAAAACCAGTCGGGTGTTTGTTACAGGGAACCGACACACAGGCATTTCTTCTTTAAAAAGATACTTGCCAATGTGCAAACTCTTCAGACTTTCGGCAGCCTCAAATTGGCTGAATCGACTAAAATCCTGTACCAAAAGAATCATCTTTAAAAAATATACTTTCGTAATACCGGGGGGGAAGTTTACACAGTACCATCTACACACAAACCAACCATGATTCCCAGTTTTAAAAAAGATGTCTTGGCTCTTTTCCTGCCGCTCACTCACATTGAGAGAGCAGCCCGCATTGCCAATACTGAATGAAAGCAAGGTTTGGTCAGTATGCAAGCTTGCCCTAGATATTCTCGTACCTGTTACAAACTATTTGCCACCGGGAGAACCTGGAGCTCAGGCTGATCAGCCCCGGGTCATCCGGCCGCGATGCTCCGAAGAGCTGGTCCGTGCAGATGTCGCACTCGTTTCTACCTGTGGCGAAGTTCCAGTAGGGCAGCGCGAAGGAGTCATTGCCCATCAGTTGCTGCAAGGGACAGAAACACGTTAGCAGGGAATCACCTTCAAAGGAAAGACAGAGAAAGGGACTCCTGCAAGTTGTTTCACTGGGTATTCACTGGATATTTCACTGGATATTCTGCTTTTCATTCCACGTTTCAACTACATGCAGTTCACAGTGCTGCTCCAACTCCTTTGAAAAGATTGGGGCGTTAAGTCAGTCCTAGCAAAGACATCGTCACTAGTTATTCTGCTGTTGGCCTGCACTTCTTCTGGCCATGTTAGGCTTTCTACCAACTCGGAGACCAGGCAGGAGAGCAGGAGCAGAGATGAATTGAGCCTTAAGGAACTAAGAGGCGTGCTGAGTGATGTAAGTGGGTAATGGGTAAAATTGTGCATGTGGTTTGCTTTCGCTCCAGAAAGGCTAGCCCTGGGGAAGAATCTGAACTTGTATTAATAGAGGAATACAGGGCATTTGCTTGTGCTTGCTTGTTAGATACGATTTCACGCAAGTAAGATCCTGCAGCTATTTTGATACCAACCATTTTTGTTAGAGATCCGCAAGGCTGAAATACAGTAACATTGCCAATGTAGAAGTAATGCAAATGGAAATGAGTCAATGCTTCAGCAACTGACTGTCGGGCACATTAAAATATTTATTTAAAAGATGTATTGCTAAATATATGCGTGTATTAAAGGTATAGCATGGCACATTTAAAGGGGGTAATATTTAGAGTTGCTTTCTTAGGAGGGTATCTTCAACATCAGCAGACAATATCTGTTACCATGTTTTACATGTAGGTGTTGCTTTGATTTCATTAATAAATACTGTTAATTCACATCTTCTGTCCACTGTTACGTAGATGAAGAAAAAAATCTCCATTATAACCTTCACATCATTGCTCACAGTGAGAAACTGTTTAGTCCTCAGTATCTTGAAAACACTAATTTCACTTTAAACAAAAAAGAGTCAATAAGCAAACACTCCTGAGAGTTTGGGTAAGAGTCTACCCTAGGAAATAGCTTACCCTTGGCTGGCTCGACAAAGTCACATAGCAAAAGAGAGAAGCTGCATGAGGAAAGGGAAAGGCTGTTCAGCTAACCTGCAGGTCCTTCTCCAGCAACAGCAAATGGTACCTATGCCAAGTAACAAAGGCAGGTCCTTGATGGGAGAAATCGATACCTGTGAAGGGGCGGCCAGGTCCTACAAAGGGAAGATAAAATACGCACTTAGGCAACAAATGAGGCTCGAGAGAAAGAGACCACCTTCTTCTATTGCCTGGAGTGGAGTTAAACAAAAACCTCCAGCTCTGCACCTTTGGAAGGAGCGCGCACATCAGAAGCTACACCACTTACATGGGACAAGTGAAACAAACTTCTCTGTGGATGTTCGCTTCAGCGCTTCTCAAAACTTCACATTCCCCCAAAAGTTGGATATTGTGAAGACTTCTTATGACTTTAGTGGATTTTGGTTCTAAGAAGCAGTCTTGTTGTCTAAAATCTTAGCTCCTTGCTAATATGTACTATATTATCTCATTCTCTTGCTCAGTGGCAGGACTTATACACATCTATCTATCAAGAGAACCTCAGCATTTTCCATAACCTGCCAACAGTAATTCAACATGTCCTTTGCCAATTTTCTTCAAATTGTTCTTGTTATTTCTTGTATTGTGCTCTTGTTATTACACATTAGAACTAAGACACTCAAAGGTTACGGGCTTCAAACCGCGTATGGACTTGTTTATCACTGCAGCAAGCTTCAACCCACATACGAATTTATTTATCACCGCAGCAGCACTGGAAGTTGCCTTTTTCCCTTTCACATGACCATCCTGTCCCCTGACAGACTGTGGCCCTTGCTAGGCCAGAGACCGCTTCCTTCAGCCCTGCAAATCGGAATCATGTCAGAAGGGGAGACTGAAGAAAACCCCACTGGAAGGTAGCAGGTACCCTCTAGCAAGGAGGTAGATACGGGCTGTTCAGCTTGCACGTAGGGCTGCCAGATAGAAAAGGCATACTGCTGCCTCCTCTTGCGAGAGCTGGGCTTTGCGAAGTGGGGCTGGCATAGGTACTTTTGTCTAGAAGAGCAATGAGGACTAGGAATCCTGATTTGGGAGAAAGCATGGGGTTAGATACCCAGACCTCTAACCTGGTTTGGTTTTAAAAGCTGGCTGTGGTTAGTCAGGCAAATCCCATCCTTAGTGACTTGCTGAAGGCCACAGAAAGCAGTAGCACTTCAGTCCCCAATGTCTTTGCACGGTCTCTGCCTTCACAACCGCAGAGCCCCTTTCCCACTGCTGCTGCATCTACCTTGTCCTGTGGACTAGGAACATCTTTTTGAAGTGAATCACTGCCTGACCACGCTTTGGTTCACCCAACAGTGGAGCCTGTGAACTGCCTCCCTGTCAGATGGAAGATGCACCAGGAGTGCGGCTGGTGTGCTCCAGCTGCCACGGGGCGTTCAGTCGCGGGGTCCAGACTGCAGCAGGTCTGAAGCAGACCTCCCTCAGCTGCGGGTGGCTCCTCAGCACCAGCTGTTTCACTCCACAGATCTGCTCCTACTGGGACTCACTGCTCGCTAAACTACCGCAGCCCTGTTAAAGCATACTTACCTTTGTTCAGCAATGGTACTTTTCACCCTCTCCTTTACCTGCAGAGCCCCTTGGATAAGAAAAGCACTAACCTAATAGCGTGTCTCTGACTGAGTAGTAATGAAGCCAAACAAAGTAGTTATAAATACTACAGTTGGCAATTTGCAGTTCCTCTCCGGTGGGACCAAGCAGACTTATCCAGTGCTGAGTTGCAATTACATAGTCTGGGTGAATGGTTGTCTTTGCACGGTCTAGAGCATCGAAGAACTGCTCTCTCTCCTCTGCCGTCAGGGAGAGGACATCCTTCCTGACAACCGGTGGCTTCCTCACGTTGCAGTCGGGGCCGGTCCAGCCAAACTTGCAGTCACCGCAGTTATAGCCAGCAAAGTTTCCTTAATCGAGAGAGAAAGAGCAGTCATGACATTATGAATCAGATAAAACTAACAGTGAAATGCAGAAGAATTAAGAATTAGCACTCTTTTTCCCCAGAGACACCAGTTCCTGGAAGGGACAGCAGCTGAGCAGACTGGCAGCTTTGCCAATTGCCTAACCAGAAGGATGGCTCGCTTCCCAGAGCCACGGCAGGGCCAAGAATCACACTCAGCCAGTTGGGGAGGTGAAGCGCGGGGTAAGGGGCTTGACACCTCAGGGTGCTCAGAGCCCTGCTGAAGCCCTCAGGCACGTGAGGAGACTCACCGAACAGAGGGCTGAGCACTTCAGGTTAAGCACGTGATGAAGTGCTTTGCTTGATTGGCTCTCAAGTACTCCCAGACTTCCAGGATCAAACCCAAAAAAGGGTCTGCTCACGTGGATCCTTAAGCACAGAAAAAAATCCCCAAACAAAACAGTTCTCTTAAGGACAAAGCTTAGGAAAAACTAATGTCTGTTAACAATGTGTCTGGGACGAACACAATCCAGGACAAGCACCAGGGGTGCTGCAGGTCACGCTGTAAGCATTATTAAATGATGCTGCAGTAGGAGCCTGAGAAACACAGCAGTACCGTCGTTCCCCACTGGCATCGTTCCTGAGGCAAATAATCAGGTCCGCTCTAGGCTATTAGCTCAGCCCAGGAAAGCAGAGCTTGCTTTAAGCATGGCCTCTCGCCCACCATGGCAGACTGCCAGCAGCAGAAAGGCCCCGCTGCAGCTTGCTTTGCCTTTGCCAGGGGAGACGGGGAACAAGCAGCCGTTCCTGCAGCACAACATCCACCTCCTGCCCGCACGCAGGCAGGCTGCCGGCGTAGCAGCGGTGTGGGGCAGAGGGCATTGCTGCCAGGGTGAAGGGGGAGCGGAGGGGCAACCAGGGCTCCCCTGGGATCTCCACTCAGTTCTCCAAAATCTGCACTGAGACTTCCTCCAACCTCACATACACACTCACTCCACAACAAGTGTCTTCCAAAATGCTACAAAATCTCACTGCTCCCCGCACATATCGGCGCTGCTAGACCCAGGACAGGCTTCGGGCTAACATGGAGATGGGCAAGTGGCTTATGAAGTGTTCCTGGACAGGCAGACGCCCCTAGGCTGTAGGCTTGAGTCTATGAGCAAAACAGCAGTTAACACTAAAGTAAGATTTCAGATTGTCAGGGGCTACAGGGCTTATTACCAATTTCAAAGACCCCGAGGGTTACAAGGGCTGTTACCAAGAAGGTGTGTAGCTTATGGCTAGCTCTAGGATAAGGGCTGCTGAGCTCTAAAGATTTGTAACAGACTCCTGTGAGACCCACCAAGAGGACATGAGGACTCTTAACTGTAGATTTGGAGAGCTTATGGTTACTCAGGAGGCTCTGAGATCTATAGGTTTACACGCTATCATGAAGCTTAGGACCAGTGCTAAGGTTAGGGACCACAAGCGTGAAGATTTCAACTAGGTTTTGGATCATGCAGAGCCCGTTGGGGTACCATGAGGACAGTTTCCAGGTGTATGGCTTACTTTTCATCCCAATGCAGGTAGGAGCAGCTGGGCTCAACTGCCATGTTTCAGCTAGGACAGAAGGCACCCAAAACCAGGGGTCTGCATTAGGGGGTGAGGACTTTGCCAGAAAAGCGAGTAGTTTATAGTTTTATGAAAGAAAGAAGATTGCATGGATATGTTATTATGATGAAGGCAGAGATTAAGATGGGGGGAAGCAACATGGAAGGTTGATTTTATCACGATATCCTGACAGTCTCATTGGAAGAGCACGACTGCTGTTGCGAATTTGATGTACGCCACTATCTGTACACTTGCTCATTCTTGACAACTCTCAACAGCCCTAGCTGTTAGGGCCCATCACATACTCCCACAGGTACCGGCCAGATGACAAATCATCGGGAATATCTTGCAACATTGCCTAATTAGGCCAAATATATTGCATAAATTTCAATACATGGATCATGAACTTCTGGAAAGCAGCTGTTGTCCCCTCACACCCAAAGGTACAATTTAATCCTTTTTAAGAGAAGGGGGGCAAAGCAGGAATTAACCACAAAAAGATCTGTCAACGGCCTTTTTTGAGATTGGCAGTCACGCTTCCAGTAATTTAAATGACCCATCTACTCAGAGCGCTGGATAAGCATCACATTGAAATATAGCACTAACAGAACCAAATCCCACACAGTTATGAATTTCTTAGCGTTCTCCTGGAAATGCCTTTGCATCCAGCATCGAGATGACCATCGAGCTGACCACAGCAGAGTAGAGCCCAGGAAACCTTTCTGAAAATCATCCTTAAGGTTGCCTGCCACCTTAATGTTTTGTCACTGGTATATTTAGATAATAAAGACTGCAAGGAGAAGAGAATACAAGTGAAATAAAAACGCAGCTAGAGGAACCAGATTTAACGAGCCGAGGAGAGCGGACAGCTTAGCAGAAGTAAGGCTGAATGAAAGGACACTACATTCTGGTCACGTAACTAGGGACCCAGCCCCGCAAATATCAAATAACGGTGCTTACCGCTACTTGGACCAGCAAATTAATGTCTGCCTATGCAGACCGTGTCTGTCTACACTCCTCTTCAATCTACTCCCAGGTTTTGATGCCCTAATTACTTAGACTGCGTAAATATTGGTGCATGCCCATGTGCTTCATTGCCCTTCTGACTCAGGGTCTGTGCTTACATGTGATACCTGACTTTAGTTTTGGAGGTAAATAAGAACCTTTAAAATGAAAAAAACCTACATCCAATTTTTTTTTAAAGTGTCTGGAAAAGTACTTCCACACAAGCATTTGAAATCAAGTCAAAGGAAAAGATTAAAAATCGATTTATACTCTGAATTCTGTTGTTATTATTTTGAGGAGCTTCAGTAACGCTGTGTATCCATTTAAGTCATCTGCCACTACCTCTCTGCTTTCAGCTGATAACAGCATTGCAAAACTTAACCTCGTAGGCTGAAATTTTCTGCAGTGCTTCTTTCTCAGATTGATCCGGGCTTTTTTGACAGAGAGAGCCAAGGTATATTTTAGCAAAACAGTTCAACTAGTTCTAAGAGTCAGGCTGAAGGAAAGGAGGCTATTCTTCCCATGTTAGAAAACTCAAACAACTTTATATTTCCAAGAAGAAATCCCAGGCTGCATTTGAAACCTGCCTAGCAGGTGTCTTCAGTGCTTGAGATGTGCCTTTTGCCTGACTCCCGGCACCCTCTCCTGCCAGCCCTGCAACGCAGCCTGGGCTGAGGCTACGGTTCCTCCTCATTTTAACCCTCCTTCAACCAGGGCGGCTGCTGCTGAAAAAGGGTCTGTCGCCTTACCCTGCCTTACCCTGTACTAGAGAACTGGTCTTACTAAAACCTGACCCCTTTGGCCAGGTTAGCCTTCGAGCACATCTCCTCCCTGACCCGTTTTGCCTCCAGCCTGTGAACGCAGAGGCCCATGTCAGGTCACGGTGGGAAGGAGCGGCTGGAGATGGGAAGGAAAAGGACACGATGGCCTCTTTGGTGGTTGTACAGACCCATTTCGGATCAAAGTGAGTTGTAGACTTAGTTAACGACCCTGGGAAACACCCTGGCCAGACATCCACACATTTTCAGTGCACAGGGGTGTATCGTGCTGCAAAGTACTACTCCAAGAGGAATACATCTCTGATCAATGCACACTGATCCAGGTTCTCTGCGCCATGATTAGCAGTGACAGAGGTTCGAACGCAGCACTGAAACGTCCAAAACCCTGCAGAGAAAGGTGATGGGTGGCTACAGGGACAACTCTAGGGGCAAAGAGGAAAACCCAGAAGTCTGCATGAGAGAAAACACTTTCTCAACTCCGTTGCTCTGAAAAAGTGCTGACAGTATCATGAACAGGATAGTACTTTTAGGAAACTGATAATATTTGAAGCTTTCTTGACGCCTTACGCCATCAGGGACGTTTCTGGCCTTCAGAGCGATGTTAGCAGACCCATCCATGCCCGTCCTCCCACCCCAGCGCCCCTCTCACCTGTGCACCAACAGCTCTGGTTGAAGAACTTGAGGGGCCACTGTTCCCGGTCATCCACATTTTGAAGGGTGTAGGGGCCACTCCAGGGCCGAGTGTCTGCCTGCACCCCTTGACACCGTCCCCTGCCCTGCAGGGACCCACAGACGTTGCCTGGCTCCGTCCCCAAGGCCGGGCAGCAGCGCTTCAAGCGAAGGGCATCCACTGTCATGCAGGCACGGGGGAACTGTGCCTGTGCCCGGGGGGGACAGCAGCAGCTCAGGTAGCCCAGCCCAACCCAGAAGAGCCACCGCAGGGCGCCCATTACGGCTGGGGGCAGCCTCTGCCTCTCCGCTGGACCTGAGCGAGCGGAGCAGGGAGATCTCCACCGTGGGACAACCTGGCCTCCCCGCGGCTCCGTGCCCCGGCCAACTGGGATAATCCCTCTCGCTGCTGAGGATGCTGGTGTCTGGTGTTTGTTTAATCCCAGTCTCTAATTGCCTTGAATGCAGTTCAAAAGACGGACGCTTTGGCTCTGCGGTGCCTGCCCAGCAGCCACGGCTTTGAGCGGGGTTTACATAGAGGTTGGGAGAAGCCCTCATTAGAGGGATTAGCACGGCACAAATCCTCGTGTTTCACACATGACATCAAGGGCAGAAAAGACGCCAGCGTGAGAGCAAGTTCTGCGGGCTCTGGCAGCTTGTCAGGAGAGTGAATGCCTCAGATTTATTTCTCCAGGTCTTTCATGAGCTTTGAGAAATTGATGGTCTAGTTTTAGCTGAGGTGGCTGGAGAAGCAGGTTTATTCTTTTAATCAAAACTCTGTAAACAGATGATAAATAGAAGAGGAAACCCCTTCTCTTTTCAGTTCATTCACTGCAAGATAATACTATCCGCTAAAGCAGTAGCAGTAGAAAATTAACTGGAAACGCAGAGGATATAGGGGCATCATTAACGAAAATTAATAAACCTGGTAGTAGCAGTTAGTGATGGAGACTCCATCTGCTGATTGCAGAATATCTGAGTAGCAATTGGAGAAGGGTTCCCGTCTTAACAGCCTTTTTGCATGCAAAATAAATTATTTGGTTTTAAAGGGTGAGTGGTCCTTGTTTGTGCTCTAATCCTTTCCCCATCATTACACCAGAGGTTGTTTTGGGGCTGATCTGGCTGCTAGACTTTCAGAACTGTCACAGCTGAGCATTTATTGCCCACCTGGCAGGAGACAGTCTCGAAGATCAATACACACACCAGACATGCAGACAAGTGGTTTTGTTCAGGACATCGACAAAAATTACTTTTAAAAGCTGCTAGCATGCAGCAGTTCTTGCCCGCAGTGCAACTCCTATGTGCTAGAGGAATAAAATGAATAAATCAAAATAAAGTAGTGATAAGTCATGAGAGGAGTCTGAAGCAATAGCTATTAGTTCAGCTCCACCATACTGAATAAAAACTGGCAACTCCCTCTGCTTCACTGAAAGCTTTCTCTACCCCGCCACTCTCCACACCTCTATTGTTTAGCCATTTTTGTAAGTATGTATAATGAAAACAGCTGTGGTTGTGTCTGTACTGTTCAGTATTTCCACGGATGTTCAACCACACTATTCTGGCACAAGAAGTCTCTTATCTATGCAGCAAACTTATTGCCATTATGCAGCTAAGGAGTTCATCCACACTGCAGACACTGTCATCAGCACTTTCAGATTCTCCAATCTTTATAGGAAAAATTTATTACTTGCCAGACAAACTGAAATGTGATTCTACTTCATTTTTGGAAGTACGGTTAGAAAGCCAATTAGCAATACCACGTAGCCTGAAATGGGTTTCAACTCATTGCCCTTAGGATTCCATTTACCTGGAACTGGCTTTTGCCTGCTGCTTCCAACACATGTGAAAAAGACAGAAATTGAGACTAGTTGCTGGAAAAATATGTTGAAGAAGATCAGGAGTTATATATGGAGGTACTAACTCAAAAACACTCTGAACAACGCACCTCCCTATGCTACTCAGCACCTGAACACACCTCTCTGGCGTGGAAAGATCAGTCCTTGAACCTAGGCTAGACAATGTCTTGAACCAAAGTTACCAACATAACATCTGAGAGCAATTAAAGTGAACACACATTTATCAGCATCACCAAAAAAACCATCAAAAAATATGGACAGGATTCAGCTAGCCGACTAAACACCTGAACTGAGGTGTCTATATGTAAATTATGTGTCTATGCAACCATTATAATCAAAGCCGGCTCAGTTCAGACACCCCTAGGAAGGTAGCTACTGCCATTTGGGAGCCTACATGAGACAGAAAGAGTAAGCACAGAGAAAGGCAAGGTGCTGAGGCAGGCAAGGCAAGGTAAGGCAAGGAAAAGCACTTCTAGTGTAATACGTGAGGAAGGAGACCTGTGTCCTTTTCGGAGAAGTTAGAGTGTGGAGAAAAGATAGATGATAATATGGAGATTACTTAGTTAGCAGGGGAAAGAAAACTGAGTAGAAGAGGGGCGTGTACGTGTACTTCCCTCCATCACAGCTACGCAATTTTACAAAACTGGGGCACGCTACAGCATGCCGTACTAGTATAGCTGTAGCGCTAGCCTCTGGTCCTCAGTATTGCATCAACATTTCGGGAGTGCCCTCCCCGGCCAGGGGGGGAGCACCTGGGCGGAGAGAAACAGGACGGACAGATCCCACATCCTGGCGTCACCCTGCCGGTGCCCCTTGCAAGGCTTGCCGGCATCGGCAGCCGCACGCCGCTCATGACAGGCCGTGCGGAAGACACCGAGCCAAATTACAAAAAGACAGTTGTCTTTCGGTTAGTCACTGGGAAAACAGCAGGCACTGTCCGTTTCTTAGTGCCTCGCTGTTCAGGAGTTCCCGCAGCTTCCCCGCGGCCATTGCGCTTAAATAAAGGAGCCGTTGTTAGGGCCGCACAACACCAGCACTATACCAGTTTACAAAATAGCATGCTGAATGACTTTTTATTTACTACGGGGTTTTACTCTCTCTTGAAAAATGAGTAGCGCTGTGTGTTGGCACCACTGCCCAGAACTGCTTGCCTGCAGCTATCAAAGGACTTTTCAGGCAGCGACTCTGAGCACATGAGCAGTGGCCCAAGCCCCCTTGATCCAAACTGTAACCGCGCTGCCTCGTCCACACTTCCGAGCTATCAGGTCAGGCTACCACACCTCAAACTGTCTTAAATTTATTAGTTAAAATATTTAGGCTTTACACTGAAAGTACAGGAAAACTGTATTTCAGCTACCTTGTACACTGGATTTGTGCCCAGGTTCACCCCTAATAGCAAACTTCTCAGCCTATCGTCAAATATACCCATACGGATGCCAATGCATTTTTGGGATTAATACGGTCACGTATTTTTTTGGCAAGAGAGGGAATAAAGAAAAAGACCACTCAAAGACCACCACAGGCAAAGACATCACTAAACACAACTCACCCAAGTAATACAAAATTCCTGAGCAGTAAGTAGGCAGTGGGTTCACTTTTTTTTTCTCAATGACAGTATTGTTTCTCAGGCTCCTTCGACTGTACTCAAGCACAGATTAGCATCAAGCCTGAAAAGTATGTAGCCTTTGGAATTTTGGAAAGAATTTTGACCAAAATACAACATTCTACATATAAATTTATGTGGAAATCAATATATCAATAGAAAGAATAAACCACATAATAATTCATAATGGCAGGTGATAATTCTGGAGATAACAAGAAGAAAAATAATTCTACAAGGAAAACTGGAGACAAGTAAAAGATCAAGGTCAAAGTGGAAAGAAAAGAGACAGGATAAGCAGCACCCAAGCATCTGCTCCACAGACAAAAGAATTTTCAAATTTAAAAAAGAAAAACAACCCCACCATATGATAAGAAGCAAACTCACCCAGTCGAGTGAATCCATGATATCTCAAGCTGAGCACTCAAAAGTGATGAGCACTTCTGGAAATTTTGGCTGTTATGAATATTTTTCTTTTTCTTTTCTTTGAAGAAAATATTACACCTCTGATTCCTTGTTCTGCCAAACCACCTTTATATTAGCTTAGGGGTATTTACATTGTCAAAAACCTCACCTGAGAAAGAACAGATTCTACTTCTGTTGAGCAAAATTTCAAGGCTGGACAAAAAGGACTTAGCAAGAAACCCAAATTAGAATACCTTAGTACATTTTTCATTGCTCCAAAGATCATGTAACATGCCTTTATCTTACGCATGACATGAAACTGGCCATAATAAAAATGCTTTGAATGAAAATGAACCCATGCTAATCTTTATCCAAAGCTTACATCAAATCCACCTTTTTGTTCCTATTTTAAGTGACAGATAAATATTTTGGCTGCTGATTTTAAATGTGAATTTATGTGCTCCAGATTTCATAGAGTAAGAAGCATGACCTAAGGCATGTTTTTCCAACACTGCCACCAGGAATGTATTACTTGAACACTTACGAAAGCCTCTTATTGGAAAATGTGTGAAGCAAAGCTATTCATTATACACGGTGGAAGTCAATTCAAGACGAAGATACCTTCATTATGCATCTACCATGTATGCATCTGTCTAGGAGCTACGTGTCTTTAAGTTCTCATGATGGCAAATAGATATCTTAATCATTATAGTCGATGGAGCGTAAAGAGTAGCTCACCCGGAAGAGAGAGATCTCAAAGACATAAATTTCCTAGGAGATTCAGGAAACCTAGAACACGCTAGATGGCAAGTAGAAGAGAGAGCTGTTAAGTGCCCCAATAGAAGTAAAGACTTCAGTGTGAGATTACGCATTACTAGGCACCAGAGACTACACAAGTAAGCCATTTGGCTCCACAATGAGACATTTCAGGTGAGCTGACAAAAGAAAAAGCTTGCACCTGAAAAAAAAAGCTCCTCCTAAATACTAAAAACAGCCACCAAACAGAAATCCATGGGAAGAAAGGCTTCCCTACGTCTGTTGATCTTGTGTTTATTTGACTCTCTGAGTTACCCAAGTGCAACCAGTTCTACACAAAATCTCGTAAGTCATTAGATCTGGAAAAAAACAACTCAACACTTGCAGAAACAATCTTTGTTCTCTTAGGCTTATGTCTCAAAGCAGTACATCTCAGAAAAATAGTTACTCCAATATTTCAAAATTTTCAATAAATTGCAATAAATTGCAATAAGGGATGTCCTAAAAAGAAAAGAGTACTTGCCACTCTGTTTCCTCATTTGTTCATCCACTACCCATGTAGGTTTCTTCATGCTTGCAAGATTATCTTTCGTTTCTAGTACGTGTGATGATAATTTTTCAAACATCCTTTTACTTAGGCCTTTTGATTCCTACCTTTGTGCTG